GATAAGAATGATTTTTATTGACGTGTCTGCTACCAATAGAATCTATCGCTACAACTAGTGTTCCTTTCATAAGTAAGATAAACATCTTATTCTGTCCACTAGATAAAAGAGTTCTCGAATCAAACGGGCTAAGTCTATTGTTTGCCACTGGAAATCAACGGAATCAACAAAAAAAAGTAGTTTATAAAAAGAAAAGAATAACAACCAAAAATAGTAGAATAAATAGTTTTTTTTTCAGAAGATGACCTATGTCCTATTTAGACTCCAAGGATTGTGTCGATTTAAACGGCACCCGTTACTATAAAATTATTAACGCTCGAGCCCTTGTATTCCTATTGAAGTTTATATGAACCAAGTGAAATTGTCTTCAATTTATATTTCTATATTCTGAAAAAAAATTCACAGAACAGGACAAAATCCCTTGGACCTGAAATTTATACAGAACGGGACAAAACAAAATTCAAAATTGTTGAACTACAGGGCAATTGAGAAGGCTATGAAATGATTTTTTTTCCAAGTTAAAAAAATATTCAGAAGTATGGATCCACGAATTTACGCTCACAAGTTCAACAGAACATTGACTCTCTCTCGAGACTCTAGAGTCTAGTCTCTAAATATTTACATATTTACTCTTATGTAGTCTGGTCGTTGTTCACTATTTCCCAGGTGATCCGTGAATAGTGATAGGTGTATATAGGTGTAGAACTGATACTTGTTGACTGATTATGTACCGAAAACTGATACTTGTTGACTGTTGTATCGGTAAAGTTGTTCTTAGTAGTTCGGTACTTGGGCCAAGGTCGCCTTACGTGGGCCCATAAATATCGACCTGTACTTAGGGCTCTTGGACCCTACCTTTGCGAATGGTACGGATGCGGTTTTGGACTCGGCCTCGGGCGTTTATAATCTTATAGTCACGGGTGCCGTATAGACATAAAGGTATTTATCTCTTTTTTTACTAAAATCAATGAACAATTTTAAAAAAAAAGTAAAAAACAGGGAGTTTCAGTTTGAGTTTGTTTCTATTTTTTATATAAAACATAATAAAAACCCACAAAATGACCCTTTTTTTACATACATATTATGTAAAATATTTGGAAAAATCAAAAACAAAACTAGGCCTGAACACCCGATTTCGTGAATATTTTGCAGTATTTGAAATTTGGCTATTTCATAGAAGCCTAGCCTTCTAAAAAAACAATAAATAATATTTTGGGAATTGTTTGTCTTTCTTTTCGTCAAAAGTTGTTTTAACTTTTTCCTCTCTACATATCTTTAATAGATAGTAAATAATAAATTATAAAAGGCCTCCAATAGTATAGTGTGCTCTTTGGATGTAATTTGTTTCAAAATTCGCAATAACCATTGGTGAATAATAATAATCTAAAACTGATAGTCTACGACTCGACGAGAAGCCCGTATTTTGTATATACATACTCTCTCTCCTCTTCAGCGGGTGTTTGACTAGCTTTTGAGCCAAATTATACACCACCCAGGACATCCATTCTATTGTTATTACTCTAAGTACCGTATCGCTCAATCTCAAACTTTTTATAATTTTTTTCTTTTTCTTCTTGAGTCTTTTCTTCTCATTTTTTTACCTTGTCAAATTACTCTTTGTCTTTTGGTAATATTTTTCGTAGAGAGAGAGAGTAGATACTCTCTCTACTACTCTCTAAATATCTCCTTTTCTTATTGGGAGTCCTCAGTAGTGAGTAGAGACTAGAGACTAGACTCAGGACTCTACTATAATACATAGTAGTGAGTAGTAGAGAGAGACTCTCAGTCATAGACTCAGTCTCTTTCTCTCTCTCTCTCTGAGTCTCTCCCCCCCCCAGCAGAGAGCAGTCTTCTCTCTCTCTCGCTCAGTCTCTCACTGAGTCTCTCTCTCTCTTGAATCTTAAGTCCGTTCATTGTGATCAAGTGTGTTATTGTGATTTTAAATACTGATTTTTGAGCTTCTGGTTGTGTTCGGTTGTGAATGTCCAGTTGTGGCCTAACCTCATAAAGTAAAATAAGTTATATTGATATATAAGTCGAACGTTTTACTTTTACGTTTTCGTCTGAAAACGTTCAACGGTTTACTGTTTCAATTTGGACCTCAATTATTTCGATTTGCTGCCCACGATAGTGCACCTATTCTCACACTTTTGGCCGCGAAATGCAAAACTAACCAATGAAAAATAACTAGAAAGTGGTATGTAGCCTTTGCATATTTTTTTCTGACAATATGGCACTTGTGGACTAGTGAAGTTGTCACACTAGTCTTTATTACTAAAAGTCACTAATAACACATAAAGTCAAACTAATCGTGCTGGTAGACTGTGTAGCCTGTTGCTTGTAGGCTGTAAATCCTAGATACCTCTATCAATTATATATACCTTAATTTCTAGAATATGAACAACGTCAATATCAAGGGACAGTGTAGCGGGCTAATAGATGGTTGGGCGGGCAATAGTTGGGTATGATGGTTAGGACAAAACTCTGACCTGGACAATTCTCTTATTGGTAGCTTTAGGACTACGAATGTATAGGAAAAGGTTTAACTTTTTACTTTACTTTTTCATTTGAAAACGTTGCAACGTAAGGATGAGGTTAGGTTGTGGGTTGTGCTCTACGGCGCAATACAAATAAATACATAAGTGTGTGAGTGACTCATGACTGTGAAGTTTAGTGAACTGACCCCAATGAGTGAGTAGTCTACTCTACTACTAAAGAGAGAGCGGTGAGTCTATACTCTCTATAGTATATGTAAATAAAAATACGTAAGTACGACCTAAATAAAATGTACATACATGCGTAAAAAAAGAAAAATTTATGCAAAATGGCATGTCAACGATGGCACTGCAGACGCTGAGATCAGAGATATATTTAAAAAAAATTAGACATGTATGTAGTACAGTATGTAGTTCTTTCTTTTTTAATAAAAATAAAATAGGACCTAAAATAAATACTGTTTACTTTTTTATGGTGTATTGGTGTTAAATATGATATATATAAAATCATACTCGTACAGTGGTACAATACATATTGAAAATACATAAATACACCATAGCCTTCTATTCGTTTTTGTTTTGTAAATATAAAAAAACAAAACAAAAACAGGAGTTTTTATAAATATAAATATAGAGAACAGGAACTGTAGATTCTGTGGAATTGTGGAATGTGGAAACTGAATTTGGAAAATGTGGACTTTTTGGACTTTAAATTTTCGAGAGTGACACTCTGAACTCTGACACAGAAGTAAATATATTTACCATGAGGTTTAAAAATTACTATAATACCCAGAAGTTCAGTTTGTATTTATTTACCCACCGGAAAAAATACAGCCCAGACTTCCATTCGTATGTTTAAAAAAAAAAAAAATACGTAAACACTCTCTCAAAATCAAATCGATGCGTTATAGGGATAGTATTATTTTCAGGGGTCTGGTTTCGTGCCCGCCCTTATATTTACAAAGAATAGCCCGCCAACTGGTATGGCCAAGACGGGTCTGTCTTTCGGTTGGATCCGATTTTCTACTGTTGCAACTTATTACAGATATTGCTTGGTTTCTATTTAGTATAGATTCAAATAAAATTGGGTTTTGGAATTGGCTTCTACTTGAGTATACTATATACATATAACAGGAAAAAAGGAATACGGGTTCAAAACCGTTACTTACTACGTTTTCTTTCAGCATATATGAAGTACGTATAGAAGAGTAAAAAGAACTAAAAAAAATGGAATTTGCGATCCTTCCCTTCCCTCATAAAGTTAAAAGTTATAGCTTTTATTTTTGTATGTTTTTACGTTAAAGGACACCTTTTATACCTATATAAGCCCTTCTCTAATTATGTAGGTATAATATTCTGGTTAGTGAGTATTATATTTTGTCCTGTTTTTAGGTCCCAACTACCAAATGCCAACTACTAAGTGTAAGGTTGAACTTTTATGATTGGCTAAAATTATTTTCAGGCCCAAATTTCGAAATTTATAGAACATCTTTTCAAGTGCAAATTTATAATTCATATATAATATTTTGTCCCAAATACAAGTTAAACTTTTATATTCCAAAAAGTAGCAGTTAAAGGTTTAACGTTTATACAGTGACCCCATAACTTTATGAGGTTAGGTGTCAGTGTACACTTTACACTGTTTACATTAAATTGTTTTAATTCAAAAAACAAAGGGGGGTGAAGTGGGAGGGAGGGAGGGGGGTGCTTAGAACTTTAATCACAATGTCCCGTGGCCGTGTAGTCTATGATACCCTGATATTTACCCCAATTGAAACTTGGTATGGATTTCTTTCAAAGCAAATTGCTAAATAGAGAGCTAAAATGGTTTGCACTCTTGGTCTTCTCTCTCTCTCTCTTGTTGTTGAATTGTTGGGTCATGTGTGTTGTGAACTGTGAGTAATGTTTTTTTAAATAATAAGTGCAAAATTGTGACTTGTTGTGAGTTGTGACTTGTATTTGTTTTTTTTTAAAACAAAAGTTGTAGTTATTAGTTTTTTTCTTAAATTTGATCAAAATTTCATTTTTAGAACAGAATACCGGTCTCCCGGGTCCGCGTGCGAGAAAATAAAAACAGTTGGTATATTGTTTGTTGTTTTAGATCATAAATTACAAAAATATTAATTTAATAATTGTATGTATAATACCGACAAAGAAAAGAGTCGACAACTCGACATTCGACATTCGACAATATTTTTTAAAAAAGTGAAAAACATCTCGACAATATTCAATATTGAATACTAAATACTTTTAAATAAGAAACATCAAACAGCTCGACAACCATCAGTTTGATGACTGATGACTGAAAGACTGAAAGGATCGTCTAAAATATAGTTTTTTCATAAAAAACACCAGCTCTAATTCTTTCATCGACATTCGACTACAAACTACACAAACTGCGTATTCCAAGGCGAACCAATACAGCTTCTACAGCAAGTGAAGACGAGCGAATAAGGCATATTAGTTACTGCTTCACTATTCGGCTGTACCCAAAATTCTACATTGGAAGAACTTTTCGCATTACGCCTAGTTCATAACAAATCAGCAGAGCTTTCCGTAGTTTATATTAACAATATACCGGATATCGATATCTGAAAGTCATGGAGGAAACGGACAACGATGCAACAGCGCCACCCGTAGTTGTGGCGGACACAAAGTCTAGCGCTCCTAACAAGAAAGTACGCCGCGTGCGGAAGAAGTATGCGGATGACGAACGCCCTTTTGCGTGTGATCACTGTGGTCGCAAGTACGCGTTTGAACTTTCCCGGGATCAGGTAGCAAAAGGACATATTTCCAATAGAAATTAAGAACCGAGTGATTCATTTTGCATGTAATGGTGTGTCTGTCGCATATAGACTGTACATTGTTTAGGGTTGGGGGCGAGCTTTTCCCTCAGCTGTGAGCAGAACTAACAATATATCTTGTATCTCCCTTCAGCACATCCGCCTCAAACATGTCAAAGTGCAGCCTCGATCACGAGTCCCGTCTAACTCTATTCTAATCAGAGGTAGGGCTAGGAAACACACACTGACGAACCCGCTTCAGCTTTATTTATATCGAGTTGATAATCGTAAAATTTACTAATCACCAGAAATTCACTGAAGCTTCTCGTACATTTAGTTGATTTATGTCCATTAATCCCGGTTTAGGGTGGCGAGCTCTGCCATTCGCTCAAGTGGTAGGGAAGGATCGCAATCCGAGTACCCTAGCGGGCCTACTGGAAAACACGCCCAGTAACACGATTTCTAATCTTGATCGGCTAGCCACGAAGAGGACAATCGCACATGTATACGATGACAAGGAGCTTGATGTAAACGAAACTGCACATTCATTTGTCAGGTAGGATATTATTTTCGGGCGTGAAACGCCTAATGTAAAATGTGAACTGAAATGGCATGGTAACACTTAGTTTGGGACCTCCAATCATGCCAACCGGTACAGTCACTAAATTGCCGTGCTCTTTATTTGACCTATGATGTTTACGGTCTCATTCCTTTGTTCCTCTCAGGCCTGCATGTTCACAAAAGATGAACGAAGTTTCCCGACCAGATCGCCTTGCAGCATCTCAAGAACAATATTGGGTTGCTGACGGCAAGCGATTCACATCGACAAATAATCTTCAGAGGCCTCAGGTTGATGTGGCTGAGGAATTGCATCCTACGCGTATAAAACCAGGACATCAATCGGGTATATTTCACGGACAAAACTTTCTGGCACACTGTGAGCAGCAGCAGTCGATTCGGCGAGAACAGCATCCGTACCAAATGAGTGACAACCCGGGGATATCATTGAGCGAAAGTACACGATGTGCCAGCCGTGAGACAACAATGTTACCATGCAGAGGTTCGGCCGCGTCTGGCACCGACGTCAGGACCCAGGGAGCGTTGGTTTCTGGGATTAATGCAAACGTGAACGGAGATTTCGATCTAATTAAGTTTACCAGGTGCACGAGTTCCGGAACTAGATCTCGAGCGAATGCAGATGAGATCAATGCCGAGCACCATTTTAAGCATGCGTATCATCCGTATGAGCAACCACCACACACGTTAAAGCATAATGGTTTTCACCGCGACACACAATTTCCGACTCCACACAGGCATCATACAGACCAAAGGGGCAGTCGGATGGAGAATTCAACTCCTGTGTCGAATGCTAAAGACCTCGAAAAACTGCTGATTACTGTAGCGCAATCATGCCACGCAAACACTGATGAAGGAGAGGGAAACCGGAAGACTCACAATGACTTAGTAGCTATACCGGAACACTATGGTCAAAGCTCGAAAATAAATACTAGCAAAAACGGCCAAGGGGTCCCTTTCACTGTACCTCGACATTATCCACTAAGCAATAGGCCCCATGGCAGCTCAAAATGCACTACCTCACGTCGCTCTAGCTCAATATCAACAATGAACGACAGCGGACGTACAAACCATACTGCGTGTTCAGCGCACGTACCCCTGTCGCGCACAGATTATTGCACGGGAATTCCGTTGACACAGATGGAGCCCTCTGCGAGTACGAAGTCTACTGCCAATAAGGACTTGGAGTTGTTTCTTTCCATTTTGAAGGATCTAGAGGGAGACTCGAACCCCGTGAAGGTACAATCGCAACCGAATATAGAAAATACGAACAGAACAGGACACGACAAAGTAGTAATGGGCCACAGCAATTCCGGTCGTGAAGTCATGTCGTCAATATATATGTCGACACAGACACAAGGACTGCAAAGGCAACTACATTCAAACAGGGAACGATGGCATATGCCCCAACACCAATCGCAACACCAATCGCAACACCAATCGCAACACCAATCGCAGAGCTGGTTAATGACGAACTCAAATTCAAGTTCAAGTTCAAATTCAATTTCAGGCTTCTCTGGTGCACATCGACGACAAGCATGCCGATACCACACAGGTTCGGACGGTAGTGACACCTTCGGTGGAAGTGACAATTCTAGTAATGACACGTTTCGTTCTAGATCCGATACAGGGTGCAGTGATTGAATACACACACTTGCGAGTATGGGGCAATGCGAAGCGGTCTGCAGTACATGTTCAATTAGGACGAGTCTGATCACTTTTGTTGCACATTGATGTGCAATATATAGCACGGTGAGTAAATCTTAACTAATGATTCAAAGCAATCAACGTCAGAATGTCAGCTACTGATTAACCTAACGAGAACATGAAGCCTTTCTTTCAATAGCTAAAATATGCTAAAGACTTTAAGGACACAATTTAGTAAAATGGGTGGTATAATAAAAAAAGAAGCAGAAATCCATCGTGATCAAACTCATGTGAACTAGACGAATCTGAATACTGTGCGTAACCTATGAAGCATCCCTATAGCGTAACTCCATTTCGGCACTCGACTGCGAATTGAAGTGTGGCTCATACGAGACAAGCACTTCCTTGTATATACTTGTGGTTGTCCAATTGAAGGCAGTTATGTTGGGTTGTCTTTCGATGATGTAGCGGCATATCACTGAATAGCCTCATTTCGGTGACCAACTCATACTCTGTTTTATTACGTCTATGGACACACGGCTGGCGAGATAGATGCCGAGTCATACTTGCTAAATACGACGAAGGGGTTTGCATGCTTATAGTGTGCTGCGTACTGAACAATCTGGATTCTAATTTCAACGTAAACGGCCTTGACGTACAAAGTGATCGTAGTACTCCCACAATGTACGTGTCATATACTGCGTGCAATACATCTGTATCTATTGCACCCAGCAACCGCAAATGACCGTCACATCTGGTGATAAACCGCTCACATACACATAATCACATGTAACAACTTTTAAGCAGGCACCTTGCGCAGGTACAGTAGGTTATTTTTTACTCTTTATTGATGACTCAGATACTACGAGTCCGTTGGCCTGGCCGTGGTGGGCTGTTCCAGTTCTTTCTGTTGACGTCAGGTGAAGAAAACCGAAAAGATATTATTAGACAACATTCAATTGTAAAGGAGAAGAAGTTACTAGACAACATTCAATTGTAAAGTCGAAATTGTCAGACAACATTCACCTGTAAAGAAGACGACGCTAATAGACAACATTCAATTGTGGAGAAGACATTGTCAGACAACATTCAATAGTAACAAACAAGAGATTGTTAGACAACATTCAACTGCAAAGAAGACGACGTTATTAGAAAACATTCAATTATGATGAAGAAAATGACAGAATTGGACAGCATTCAATTGTAAAGAAGAATATAACAGACAAGACTCCGTTGCAAAGAAGAAGACATTATTAGACAAATGATTAGACAAAAATTGCAAAGTAGAAGAAGACATTGTTAGACAAAAGACATGATTAGACAAAAAATTGCAAAGTAGACGAAAACATTGTTAGATAACATTCAGTTGTCAAAGAGCAGTCAGTGATAGTACACAATCACAGTGCGGAAATGCTTCGAAAAGTATTGTATTTCACGGACCACGTGGTGATAAGATTGATTGTCTTTGGATGAATCACAAGCGCGAGATCTGATATGCGGTCCAGTAAATTTCACTCCGAAATTCGTGCGTAATAATGACCAAAAACGAGAAGCAATCGGCGCCAAAGAAGCATGTGCGTGGTACCTGGAATTTGGCCAAACTCGCTTCCAACTCGTGCAGCTCTTGTTCGCGTTGTTTGAGTTTGGATTCGCGCTCGGAGATGGCCTCTTTGCGGCGTTTGTACTCTTCATATTTACTACTTATTTCCATATTCCACGTCCTGTGTGTAGCGTGGAAGGTGTTGACTTTCGTCTCCATGTCCCTGTAAGATACAGTGGCGAGCAATCAAATAGATGAGCGATTTCAAGTTTGCATGCACATGTCAAGGTTTGATATACATGTGTACGTACACACAAATTATGCCAAACGGGTAGAGATCGAAATCTTTACCTTTAGATGTTCATACACCTAGTCATTTAAATTTTATCACACATCACAGATATGATTAAGTAATGCTTATGAGTTTGCAGGTTAGGGTTTAATTCTGAATCCACCAAGTTGGGGCCGATACGCCATACCTAAAGAGGCAGGGCATCGGGAGAGTATACCGAAATTAAGATACTACAAACTCGACGTCAACACTACCATACTGTCTGCCTAGAGAAGTCTATACGCTTCAATATAAACCGTAATGTGAGCAGACAAGTCGCAAACATGCCACACTCAACCACACCACGGTCATGTGACATCCCACGAAAACATGCGCATACGAATAAACATTTGATGGGCATGGCGGTGACGCCAGTAGTAGACCCAGACAGGCGAGAGAATGCACGTACAAATAAAAGTATGGGGCGCCGGGCAGGTTTTCGCGCGAGATATTGAACAAGCATGGCGTTTTAGAGTGTGCTCTCTGAGACCAGACAGGACTTCAGCTGGTCGTGACAGCTAAATAATACCCAATCTACTAAACCCCCACCAGCTAACACAACAGTTTAGAGAGTTTGGTTAGGAATGGCGGTTACTAGTGTAGAGACAAGGGATTGGGGCGATGGCCCCAAGCGCAACACAAGCAAAGGGAATTACATATTGTCATCCGATGATGGAATTAACGAATTCAGGTGGTTTTTGATGCGCGTCACTGCCAGCATTCCACAAAACATGGCTATCCGATTTGTGCAAAGCAGGCAGGCCAATTCTAAGACACGACTAACACCTGATCCAAGTGGAAGGCGCGTATTTTAAGCATACAGACCTAATTTGGCTCGCATCTTCTATCGTCTTCAATATGTAGTTGAACTCTGGCCTGTCTTCGGGTTCGGTTTGGAAACATTGATTTCTGCAAGGTAAACAGTCGAAGCTGGTGTCACTTCCCAGTGATGTAATCTATTAATAGAGCTCTAGCATTCTATGACAACCTGACATGGGAAGCGAAATTCAACCGTTTTTTTTTTGCCGCTGAACTATACCATCATGAAACTAACATTCTACAATGATCGAGGCAACTATCTTGTAGAGAGCCTAGCCTGGTTTGCGCAATAGCAAACAACATGATTCGTGTGATTGTCATAGCGCACTCGAGCAACAACTGCTTGTAGGTAGCCCCACTTTTAAAGAAGAACAATCCGAAAGTGTAATCCAGCCACAAAGTATTAAGAGGTCAAGTCGGCAGCAACGGATAGCATTTGAGCTATTGAATTGTAACAAGTATACATGATTCACCACACAATCAGGCACCGATGGAGCCAACGTCTCAAAAACACACAAGTACATGCGAGCCCTCGACATGCGCGTAGACAGTTCTTTGCACTATTTTGTATATATACATACATGTACAGGCTGATAAATGTGATACGTACAATAATGTTTTACGCTATTTTGTAAATATAAATGTGCCACGTACAATAATGTCTTGCACCATTTTCTATATATACATACATGTACAGGCTGATAAATGTGCTACGTACAATAATGTCTTGCACTATTTTGTATATATACATACATGTACAGGCTAATAAATATGCTACGTACAATAATGTCTTGAAGGGCTCTGGCACCCCTTCGGGTATCGGCAGACACTCTCCTTCCATCACCAACCAAGCAATTGACATGGGGTCCATTCCCGCAAAAGGTTCCTGCAGTTACAATGCGATACATTTTTGTATATTGTATTAGGTGCCGTTATATTGTATTAGGTGCCGTTGTGAGGATGAATTCACGTTCGGCGTTAAACGGGAACATGTGATTAGGTTAACGAGCCTTCGAATCCTTAATAACTATCAAGTTGATACTCGTGAAAGTACCGGCAGTGCTGTCAAATTGATACCAATTTTATCAGAGCATGTTTGAATGGCCAAACGCAATCATTACGTAGTTCAACTCTCAAAATAATGACCTTAGTGCCCATCATCCGATCACAAACAGCTAACTTGACAGAACGCAATTATAGTAAAACGATGTTGCATTCAATTCACCCCTGAACAATCATCCACACTCAAAAAACTGTACAGAAATCCAGACATGCAGCAAATGAGTGTAGTAATACACTTAAAGTATCGCAAATCAATATCATGAGCGTAGTAGTACACTAAAAATGTCGCAAATCAATGTCGTATACATTACGCACGCGGAATACACTGACCTGTCCCGTCAGCATCTCCCACAGCACTACGGCGAATGAGTACACATCTGCCCTTTTCGACGCCTTCTGATTCTTCAGAATCTACAAAAGAAAAATTGCGTCAGGGTTTATCAGTACACACATGAGCACACCCGGAGATGTTTGAAAGGTGTACGTGCTTATGTAAACGCACCGATGACTGTATATGTGCATGGCCGTATACTAGAACACAGTCACCTTTTTTGAAACGTCGATAACGTAACACCTGATGAAATAAAAGTTAATATATATCGTGGAGTTCAGTGGCACTAAGTGACTGATGGCGATGAGACTACCGACGGCATTCCGTTCAAGAACTTACGCGCCCAGCCTGTGTACAGTTGTGCCATCCCCTATGTGGACCATATACCATCTATATCAGCAAACCCTAAAACTCTAAACCCTAAAACCCTAATCCCCTGTGTGAACCATATACCATCTATATCAGCAAACCCTAAAACTCTAAACCCCAAAACCCTAAACCCATCTATATCTGCAGGTACACGGCCATATCCACTACGTCAAGTTTAGGCTCCTAGTGCATGATTTTGTGTATTCCGATGATTTACCAATTACATTAAATGAACAGATTGCGGGGATTCAAAAGTAAAATTATAACGATGTGCAAGTGTGTGAATACAAACTTGGTTGTGGTGCGC